GTCTTTATTATTATTATTATACAGGATTTATATAGCACCAACAGTTTGCTCAGCACTTACATGTAAAACATGCACCAACATATAACGTTCATAGTGTGTGAAATCGGACTGTGGGTGCAGAGGTTTCTTGTTCTGGTTTATGCAGCAAAATGCTGTAGGCCAAAATGCAGTTGTGGGATGGTTGCGCAAACTGTACAATACTGCCGCATTCAGATCCATGAAACAAAAATAAAAAAAATAAAACTGTATACAGTACAGATCTGAATGTATCATTGTATGCCTGTGTGCATGAGTCCTAACAGAAAAGGCACTCATCTATGTGACAGTGTCCTTGTCACTTCATGCGACAAGGACTGAGGTTCATCTTACTTCTGTAAACCACTAAATCATCCCATCCCCTAGTAATGGAAAATAACAAATTATTATTATTATTATACAGTATTTATATAGCGCCAAAGGGTTTGCTCAGTGCTGTACATTATAGTGGGGGACAGAACATGAGACAATACAGTAACAAAACAATACACGAGGGGATTGAGGGCCCTGCTCTTTCGAGCTTACAATCTAGGAGGGAGGGAATAGTGGTACAGGAGGAAGTGGCTGAGGGGATGGAGTGGTAGTAGGAGGAGATCGGCTGTTAGGTGAGGGTGGGGTAGGCTTCCCTGAAGAGATGGGTTTTCCAGGGTGGTTCCCGCAGCATCCCCCCCAGCCTAAAGGTGAGGAGGGTAGGTGACAGTCTGATGGATTGGGGTAGTGAGTTCCAGAGGATGGGGGAAGTCCTGCAGTTGGGCATGGGAGGAGGAGACCAGGGAGCTAGAAAGTAGGAGGTCTTGTGAGGAGCGAAGAGTACGGGTTGGGTGGTATTTGGGTATCAGGTCAGTGAGGTAGTTTGGGGCAGTGTTATGAATGGCTTTGTATGTCAGTGTTAGTATTTTGAATTTAATGCATTGGGCAATCAGAAGCCAGTGGAGGGAATGACAGAGGGGGGTGGCAGAAGCGGAGCAGTTGGTCAGGTGGATGAGTCTAGCCACTGAGTTCAGGATAGACTGAAGCGGGATAGCCTGTGTTGGGGTAGGCCAGTGAGAAGGGAGTTGCAGTAGTCCAGACGTGAGATAATAAGGTGAACGAGTTGCTTAGTAGTGTCTGGGGTTAGGAACGTATGTATTTTGGAGATGTTGCGGAGGTGGAGTCTGCATGAGTTTGCCAACGATTGGACATGGGGTTGGAAGGACAGGTTTGAGTCAGACCTGTCTGAAGTCCAGCCAGGGTGACACCCATTGCTCCTTCCATACAAAGTGTAATGGCTGAAATGTAAAACTGGCCACACATTTTTTATCCGTTTAGCCAGCTGCCTAAAAAAAAAAAAAAAAAAAAAAAAAAATGAAAAAGAGGATTCTCTATCCACAAAAATTAGGTAGATGGAGGAATCTCCCTTGCTGGGACACTGGATTCCAACAGCAGCATGTGCCTGTCAGAATGCACTGATTAGCAGTTACTGATCGAGGAAAAATTTCCAGGTCTCTTCAAATTGGAAGGACAGCCACACTGATCGAAATTTGGCCAGTCTGTTGAACCCAGGCTGAATTTCAATAATTGTCTAGTCAAGCTTTACTGTGTACCAAATTTTCCAATGTACTTGTCTGGGTTTTTATCTTTTTAACGACTTTTACATTCTTCAGTATGGTTGTCACTTGTTATGAACATTTTCCTACCCTACTTAGGATGGACATATTAGACCACACAAAGGAAGAAAATCTAGAGGAAAAAAAAAAAAAATTCTAGAGATTACATGAAACAAGCTTGCCATTACACACAAATTGTGTAGATTTCTAAACCTGTGTAATATAAGTAACCTGACTCTACCAAGAGCTTCTGCGATGACTAATTGCCTACAAGGCATTTCATAACCATATGACAACGTAAAGCTCTCAACTCGTCTCCCTTTCTCTGCCTTTTGTACTACATGACGCAAGCTGGAGACCCCAGGACGTCACCAGGACTGAATGTTCTCGTTTCTTTAATCTAGCCCATAAAGTTGTAGTTTTTTCGTTTCTGCCAGAAGCTGCATACTAGTTCCAGGGCAAGGCTGACATGTATTGAAATAGTAGGTCAGCTTCACTACTTCAGAACTTGAACTCAGGCGTTTCAAACCTTAAATAGCATACTTTTGCTTGTGACCAACTCCCTGAATTATCTCAAGGTTTTGTAGCACATACCACACAGCACCGCCAGCAGCTTCATGAAAACCTGAGCAGAGACTTCATCTGACTGCATGCAACCACCGTTCGGATGACAATTCTTCATCAAGCTCAGGTTAGGTTTTTTAATCTGGATGATGCCAATAGGGACACCCATGGCCAATTAAGTAGGAATTGGACAAAACTTGAGCTGCATATGCTTGTGAAGAAATAAAATGGGTTTTCACAGTTATGCAACACCAATGTAAGACCAACTTTAATATAATAGGGGATTCACAACATGTAGTCTTGCCTCTCTACCCGCCACTTCAATGCATTTCACCCCAAAAAGGGATTAATCACTGAGACAAGGGTGGCTCACAAAAGTATATTTATATACAAAATTAAAACACAATCACAAACAAATGTGCTAATTATCCTCAAAAGAGCTTGCCTTCCTCATTGACTAGCTCTGAACAAGGGGGCCCATAACTCTATATAGTGGTGGATCAACTATACCCACAAATAGACACTGCACTGTAAAACTCACAGCAAGTTTCAAAGTGACAGGTAAGTGAACGTGTCATTGCACTGATATTAATACACCTATTATAAATAATATCCTTAAATCTCAAGAAGGGCTGTAGAATACAGATCATGGAAATTAGATTTAAGCTTTTAATCTGAAAAAGCCAGTTGACTGGTAGCTGCTGATCCTCTGGCTTTAATACTTTGAGTTGCTGACTTGCAACTAATACCGATTAAGAAACGCATGTCTGCATTTTGGTTCTTGGCTAAGGCACTCAAAGTTTTGAAATCAGCAGCTCTGTTTGACAGCCAGGTAACTAGCATTTTAAAATTGAGGCCAACAACTGTCACTGTACCTCTCTACTGACAGACTCATTTTGAAAAGGTTTGTTTTTCAGAGAAGTTGGCAGTTAGCTTAAAGTGACATTAGGGCTCGTTCACACCACATGTGCATTTAAACTGATGTGCAGATTTCACTTGCAGAGACATCAAATTACATAAGTTTTCATGCACGCTTCAATGAGATATATACATATTGCAGATTCCTACACAGAAAAAATCTGCATGTGATACTAGTGTTGTGGTGTGAACACAACTAATTTTGTTAAGCCCTTGCAGAACGCGTTCAGAGAAAAACTGACGTCTCTGTGCATGGGGTGAACGAGCCCTTTAAGGCAATTTTTAAAAAAACATATACTTACCTGCTCTGTGTATTGGATTTGCAGAGAAAAGACAAGGCATGTACAAAACAGCCTGAGCACACACAATCTGAGATTACACAGACAGTTTTAAAACATCATTCATTAAATGCGGAGTTACATCCGGACAGAAAACTCTTTCTGGCCTTAGCGCAGCACCAATGCCAAACTTACATTATTAAAACATAAAAGGCAACCATGTTAAATTTCTATGTGTGCGTCGTTTATCCAGCAGCACAGCAAATAGTATGGCGACTGAAGCAGCAATACGGCTATATCATCACTGCACGTCTCCCAAATCTTACTCAAGAAAAAAAAAAAAAAGGAAAAAAAAAAAAAACAAAAAAACACAGCATAACACTGAAGTGTTCTAAAATACCTAACCCACAAAAAAAACTTCCAAGTAAGATTTTTTAAGAAACATGCACTTTAAAGTGGAAGTAACGTGTCAAAAAAAAAAAAGCTTTCCCCCTGCAAGGCAATGTCATAATGTTCTAATATTCATGAATGCATACAAGCACATTATAAAAAAAAGACTTACCTTAAAGCAGAACTCGGACATTTTTCCCCAATGCAGTGGGGCTGTGCCCACACTGCATGGGTTAACTGCTCGTATTGTCCGGGGGCATGCACAGAGAGGCTTTACTTACTGGATCCTTTAGAAAACAGCGCTCCCCCATTTCTGGTAATGGATTGTTCCTGCCTTCCTCACATCCAGTCTATTGGCATGACGACGTCAGGAACAGTCCCATGCACAAGACCGTGGGGGGGCAGGAGCTTGCACTGGGAGGATCGGTATATTAGTCAAGTATATCACCAGTTTCCTTAACCCTAGACAAAAAACAAGCAGTTAACCCATGCAGTGCACAGTGGGTACAGCCCCATTGCATGGGAGAAAACATTTCCCTGGAATTCTTCTTTAAAACGAAGACCTCCCGTGGCATGCTGTCACCACTGACAGGGCTTCCATCTTCACCCGGTCCTCTTCTGGGTCCGTGGGCTCCAGACGTTTGAAGGGCCGAGCCGTGATGACGTCACTCCAGCAACACAGCTCTCTCAATGGACAGCATGTTGTCCATTGAGAGCGCAGTGCGCATGCACTAACATCACTGGCTGCTACACAAGTACATATCTCCTAAACAGTGCATGTTTAGGAGATATTTACAGTATGTACAGATAATCCTTATCATAGGCTTTCCTGTAAGTACAAGATAACAAATGAGTGTCCTTGCTGCTTTAAAGATGGTAAAGTCTTCTACAATGCAGATTTTGACACTGCCAACAATATCTAGTTGGCAGATATCATTTGCTTTAACAAACTTTTTTTTAGCTCAACAGTCCAGCAATGAAAGTTTAACATCAGCACATACTGACAGCATGGGAAAGGACCACAGGTTTTGAAATCAATCCTACATTTTAAGAAATTATACCTTTTATTAAAGATTAGCATAATTCAGCATGTTCTAAGATCTCAAACACTAGAGAAAACAAGAGAAAATCTAACTTGAAAGGCTATGATGCGGGCTTAAAACCTATGCTGTGCATCACAAGCTTGTAATAAGCAGAAGCGGGCTTTTTTTCTCAGTTTGTAACAAACCTCGTGAGCTAGCATTCTGTAGAGTTCTTCTTTAGTGATAGAAAGTCGCTCTCTGTCTGTGCTGTCCACAACCAGGATAATAAACTGTGGAGACAAAAAACAGTTTGTTTTTGTTTGTTTTTTTAAACTAGAAATGGTTAGCTACACATGATCAAATAATTCATTTAGTAAACTACTTTCATAAAGGAATAAAGTTCAAGCCTCCAAGCTATTAAATACACTAAGCAACATTAAATTGTAAGTAATCAGTTTGTGCTGTTGGATCAACTACTGTACCAATCACCTCCACAGTTCAGCACTAGAACACCTGAATTTGCAAAGCAAACAAATAATTTTTAATGCTGATATTTGCATAGGCGAACACCCTCTGGGGAGAATAGCAGGAGAGGGTGTGCCTATTACCACAAACCCCTTTTTCCAGAATACTCAATGCCACGAGGCAGCAAAATCAGCACAGCACACATAGCAGGCCTGTGTCCCTTTTGTCAACTAGATAAACAGAAGTGGAGTCCAAGGATAAATGCCTACTGACAATCCTATCAAGTCTGGAAATGTTTGCCCTAGCAGTAAGATATCCCATGTCAGGATACCTGACCTCAGAAGCCTCAAATGAACTTAGAGACTACAAAAAAATTAGGGAGCAGAAAAGGCAATTTGTGCCAAGAGCTCCCCCAGAAAGCAAGTTCTTTCAAATCTATACAAGTACACTGTTAGTGGGTACATAGGATAACCCTTGCTGAGGCCAATTTCAGCAGATGCCAAAGTGTTTTGGCTTAAATTAAATAATTTCACTGCAACCGAAGTCTTCAAGTGACCTCTCCCACTTCATGTGGCATAATTCCTCAAGCTGTGCCAGTTGGTGGTCTAGGCCTAGGGAAGCCGTGTGGGACCTTGTGGCATAAGAACATAGAAAAAAAAAAAGGCTGGAACGCAATGTCTGCAGTAGAGGTTGCTGCTATTAGAATCTGAAGAGGAATTGACGTAACTGGCATCAACTGTGGAGATATTGTGGCTATTCTGCATCAGTGAGGGCAGTATGGAGAATCAGGGTTAAGCCACACATGCACCCATAGACATAGTTGTTGCTGTAATCTTCATTCACTATAGCAGGTTTTTCCTCCATGAAGGAAACAATCATCTGTCGGTACCTGGCCATGTGATCCTAATATTTTCAGATCCAAATCAGAGTCTGAGACAGTTTTAAGTACCAGGGAATGTACAAATTCCTCACTGACAAGGTCCTTGTGGATTAGAGAGGAGTGGTTTACCAAGAAAAAATACTAAGCAGCGTAAAATCAAAGCTGTACTTGTTCAATATAGCACACCATTTTGAATGGAATTTAGTGTCTGTCCTGCCAATGGTAGGAATATTTCTAATCCTAAAGTCTAAGTAAGTGGCTGTGCTGAAAGTATCCACTCAGATTTTGGCCATGTAACAGCAAGTCCACTCATGTTCAAAGTGTGCATTAATATACTGTAGGAATCTAGCAGTACACTAAATACAATGAGGTCAGTAGTAACAAAGCAATGAAGAAGAATCCACGGGTATAGGAATGTGCCCTTTGAGGACACTTACAAATAAGAGGAAAAAAAAAAAAAAAAAAAAAAAAAAAAAAAAAAAAAAAGAGCAAGTTATTCAGAGCTCCTGCACAGGTCTGCAATCTGTTGTTCAATGATTTACTAAAAAAATTAAAAATATCAGAGGCTTAAGATAAAATGTCCTTACATTAAAGTACCTTGGTGAAATTGTGAAAGTGAGTAAAACAATTTGTCTGATTTAGTGTTAGGTGGAGCCATATTGGCAGTCATGGAAATATAAACAATTCCAGCACTTATTGTGACAATTTTCATTCATTGAGTTTTCTGGGCTGGATATTTTCCAGTAATTGTGTGCTGGCAATTTTCCAAGTACAACAAGCCAACTGTGTACAAGACATTTAAGAGTAACCAAAGCTTTTCCTATTTTAAGCATATATTACAGCTGTGTGAGAAGTCAGGTTGACATATTTGTTGAAAAAAAAAAAAAAAAAGAAACTTTGATTCTGAAATCAGAAGCATGTGTTGGGTAAAAGTAGACGGATTAACAACAGGAAGGGTCCCCTTTAAGGCTGGTCCATTGTCAAAAACCTACTTCCCCCATCCCTCAGATAAGCTGCCACTAAACGGTTTTCCTGTGTCTACCCTCTTTACACCTCCATGAAGCTGCAAGCTTCAGTGAGCCTATCCATTAGGTTTATTCCCCAGTGCCTTTTTACCTACCCATTTTTCAGCTATGGCAGCCGAAGTTCCCCCTCTGGATGCACATCTCCTTCTGAAGTGGGCCATCCATGAAAACAGAACGACCACTTAAAGGCCAAGTTCACTTTTGTAATAGCAATAAATACACTTTTTTGCAAAGAAAAAAAGTGCACTGTCTTTAGGAACCTGCAGAACATTGCACAGATCTTGGGTGCAATGTCAGGCTCCTGCAGACTCTCAGTACAGCAGTCTGCCCATACCACCAGACAGTTACTGAAGAGCAGGAAGAATTAATGAACTATGAAGGCGCTCTCCAGTGCCATCACAGTTCATCAACAACTACAAGCCACGGTGGTAGACAGGACTCATAGTTCGTTCATTCATTCATTCACAGAACTCAATGAATGACGTGGCTATGTGGGCAGGGCCCTGCACAGCCATGCTGTCTTTAAAATTGTGACAGTGGGTACGGGGAGAGGATCCTAACCTGCTGATTCTGCAGGGCTAATGCTTTTGTAACTTGTTACTAAAAGGTGAACTGATCCTATAGAAGATGTGTGTGTACGTTACACACTCCATGTCCACCAGTTAAAAAAAACAAAAAAAACAATTTGAGCTTGGATCATTCTCTATGTTTCTACGACTGTAGTATACAGATTTTAATATCAAGTTAAGGCAGGCTAGATTATCTACTACAAGACTTAATAGCACTAAATATTTAGAAAAAGTCATATGGATTACATGGTCTTTAATAAATCAGACTAGAACTGTGAATTTAAAACAAATTATGTAGCCCTGCAAAGCAGATAGCATAGATCGCATATATATTAAAGTATATTTAACTGATGATATGATACTCAGAGCATACTGGCTCCCCTCTTTACAAGCTCCTCTCCAGGTCAGAAGAGTTTGGAGTATATTTCTGCAAGAAAAGGGACTTACGGGGCTATCATACTCATAACATTGAGCCGTTATTTACTACCCTAAAGGCCCACACGCAATCCAGGGCAAGACTTCTACTGGGGGCTATGGGGAGAATTAACCTGGTTATAAAAAGGATCCTCCTGCCCAAATTTCTGTATGTTTTGGCATTCCTCTGTATTATTACCCTTGAAAATCTTTAAAAACACTTGAAGGTATTCTTATAATTCATTTATCTGGGGTTCTAGTAGGCACAACCTCCCTTGGCTCACAATTAAAAATCATACCACTATGGGTGGTGTGGCCCTCCCCAATTTTCATTCCTACTATTTGGCAGCACAATGATCCCATTTTTACCACCTAGAAACGTCTGAAGCTGCTCGTTACCAGGCCTTCGTTTACAGGCAACTGGGTTGTATAGCATTCTCAAACCGGACAAGTGGCTTTAAGCGGAAGTGGGCAGGTAGGTGCCCCTGCGGCACTCCAATCTCTGCTACATCATCACAGATGCATCTTGGGGCTGGCCTCTCAGGGGAGTGAATGCCCTTCCCTACCAATCACACGGTCTCATTTGGCATAACCTCCAGTTAACTGAACTCATCTCTATCCCCAACCCTGAGTTATGGACCTCTAAAGGGGTCATATATCTATACCAGGTACTTACGACCTCTGGGCCAAAGGCATTCAAAAGCTTGAGAGGAATTTGAACTTCCAAACCATATGTTATTTAGATATTTGCAGCTACGGCATGCTCTGCAGGTCCAATTTCCTGCTCAGGCCCACTCTTTTCCGTCCTTTTCCCTGCTAGGGAACGCAGGGATGAGTTACTGGAAGGCGCTAAACTAGTTTCACCAAGACTACCAGATAAACTTACTCTGCTTTATATAGCACACCGAGCTTACCTAACTGCACTTAAGTTTCTAGATTTCGCCTGTAGCAGAGCCCTCTGTGCCCCAGCTGCTCAGGGGATACAGGTACATTTTTCCCATCTAATATGGTCCTGTACAGTTACTTAGACATATTGGGAATAAATTATCAAGTTCTTGCAGGACTATATGGGCTCTCCCCTTCAACTAGATCCTAAATCATGTCTGCTGGGCCTCCTTCTGGACCTAGAAGGATATGTTTTTTTATGACCTTCTTGCATGAAACACTCTTTAATGCTCGGAAACTAGTGGCGTGCCATTGGATGCAGGCTTTGCCTCCTGCGCTTCAAGCTTGATTGACAGAAGTCAACTCGACACCCCCTTATTAGAAATGGATTTACACAGGGGCTGTCCCATTAGGTACAATAAAATCTGGGATAGGTGGCTCAACATGCCAAACACTTGTGTGACTTAACCGAGTCAGGAAATTTGGGTCTAACTGTCCAGTTCTGCCTAACAGTATTTCTCCATTTACATGAACCCTTGCATGGGGAGACTGATTTTATTATACTTTCATTCCTAGTTTAATGTACCTACTATCTGTTACTTGTCCAAAAAATGCTTACTCTGTATATTTCGGCTGTGACCGGTGTATCATTTAATGTACTATGACATGCAACTATACTGCACTTTTTTGTAAAAAAAAAAAAAAACAACACAAGTATATTTATCTGCCCTGATGTACATAGAACATTTTTTAAAATATTTACACATACTGAGAGGTGGTATTACCTCTGTGTTGGAATAGTAGGTGTTCCAGGAGGATCGCAGGGATTCGCCTCCAATGTCCCACATCAAGAAGTGGGTATTCTTTACAACGATTTCTTCTACATTACTTCCTATAGTTGGAGATGTATGAACCACTTCATTCATTAAGCTGCAATGAAAACAGAAATTTAGAGGAAACCATTCCGAGAACCTGCAAAAGGTGAAGAACCAAGAAGAAAAGAATAAAAATTATTATACTGTTTTTAAACAGAGAAATGTTGCGATCTAAATATGAATGAATAACCGTTTTCTCTCAATTTATCTGAGGGCCGGTTCACACACTAGGAACTGCAAGTGAATTGCACAGGAACACTGTGCCGTTCCTGTGCAATTAAAATGCAGTGAGATTCCAGCCCATTCATTTTGAATGTGCTGAAATCACACAACACCAAAAGTAGCGCATGCACTACTTTTGGAAAAGCACTCTAACTGAATTGCATAATACTTTTGTATTTTGCAATTTGGTGCCGATAAATGCATTGAGTTTAAAAACCTGCATTTGGAGTGTCATTAACATAACATTGACACCCACTACAGATCGCAAATGGAGTGAGTTTTGAATGTGGTGTGAAAAATGTGCACAGAACACGGGGTTTTCCATACCACGTTGTCATGTGAACCAGCCCTAAGACCTCGTAAGAGCACTTAAATGTAAACACCCCATGCGAGGGCCATGTTTTGACCACATGGGGAGGCACAGGGACCCTCACCCACACGGATGTCAAACTGGGAGTAGCGCAGTGTGCCACTTGATATGAATGGGACTGCCTACATAGATGCACAAAATACCTATGCATTCCCACATAGGCAGCGCCATTCATTTCAATTGGGAGGCAGTGGCGGCGGACACAGCTGTTATTCCCAATTTGACATCAGCTTGGGTGTGGTTTCCTGTGCATACCCATGCAGGTCCCCAAATGCGGGGGCACCCACACAGATGTCAAATTGTATGTGTATTAAATTGCACCTTACCAATTTTTAGTTATGTTGGCTGCCTTAGTTTTTCCTTCATTTCACCGTGTGGCTCATCTAGTGATTTAATACCACTTTAAGAAGCCCATGTGAATAAGGCCCAAAACAAAACACAGGGGTGTGGAAATTTACACAAAAAAAAAAAAAAAAAAAAAACAACCTTGTCCAATCTACTTGTCCTGATTTAAATTCCCCCCTCCCCCCAGAAAGGAAACTACGAAGGGTTGATGTTTATTAGGCAGAGGTACTTTTAGGAATGTCTGGGGCTTTTAAAAATGAAACAGGCTTTATGGTGACTTAAACTTTTCTTTTTTTTTTAATTTTTACAGACAATTTCCTAGAACCCCCAAACGTTATTTATATATATATATATATATATATTTTTTTTTTTTTTTATTAATTTTTTTTTTATTTTTTTTTTTTTTAACATTCCTTGTGACAGCAATAGGCAATGACAGGTACTCCTTATGGAGAGATCTGGCGTCAGACCCCAGATCCCTTCTCTGCCCTTAAAAGCATTTGATCACACAAAAATCGAGTGATCAAATGCTTTCCATTTCTAAAAATGGTGTCGGGGAAACCAATGGTGATGTACACTCATTGCTTCCTTTTTTTCTAAAAAAAAAAAAAAAAAAAAAAAAAAAAAAAAAAAAAGGTGTTAAATGGGAGGAGGGGGCAATGTGCTCATTTCTAATGGGAGAGAGGGGGGACATTTAGGATTAGGGGAGAGAGAGGAGGAACATCGGGGATAAGTGGGAGAAGAGGGGGACATGGGGAAGAGGGGGCAAGGGGGTTTAGTGTGATTTGGGGGGAGAAGGGACATTTGGGATAGGTGGGGGAGGGGGCAGAAGGGACATTTGGGATAACTGGGGAAGGTGGGGCATTGGGGAGAAGTGGGAGAGGAGGGAGGACACTGGGGAGAAGTGGAGGGGAGAGGGGGACATTGGGGATAAGTGAAGGGGAGAGGGAGGACATTTTGGATAAGTGGGGGCATTGGGCGATTAGTGGAGAAGGTTACATTTTAGAAAAGTGGGGGGTGACATTGGAGATAAGTGGGGTGGGGGATGATGCAGTGTGTGACCGATGTGAGTGTACTGCACATACTGATTATTACATATCCCAGTGCATTTGGTAAGGAAGATTCCAGATGTCCATTACAGGTGGGGTACAGCAGCACACCCATTCCTGGAACAGCAGAGGAGTAGAGCTCTGAGCAGTATGCTGCACAGAATGGAGGTGGCTCAGTGTCCTGGGACTGACAGCTAATAGGAAGAAGTCAGGAAAGTATGTGTGCATGTCCTTCGGAGAGAGAAGCAAAGCTCACAGTTCTGGCTTTTAATTGCAGAAGATTGCTAGCTGCAATAGAGTACGGGACTACGGCAGGCTGTAATATGATACATTAGAGAATATAAAAAGGGATGTTTTTAGGAAATAGAAGTCTCTTTTGTGTCCTCGTTCATAACTGCAACTGCAATGAAGGAAAATATCAGTCCCCTGCCCTCTCCTCTGCTGTCATGGGCCGAGCAGTGAGGGTTTGGTGCTGCTGAACTAGAAGCCAGGCTTCTCTGTCTTCAGTTTCTGCTAGCGCCGGAGTAGCCAGCAGCAGGGCTAAATGGAGAACAAAACTTCTAGCCCAGCTCCCAGAACTGCATGTCCCGAGCATCAGGCGATAGGAATAAACACCCCTGGAACAGATATGTAAATTAGCCGATATTTTTCTAACACATAGGATTTAAACAGTGATACAGAGACAGCAGGTCACGTATCTACTATAACTGACTATGGTAGTGGAAATTTGAGGAGGTGGCACGAAATACTTACAACTGGTAAAGAATAGTTGTCTTTCCTGCATTATCAAGTCCAACAATGATTACCTTGTGCTCTGTAGAAGAAAATAAAAAAACAAAAATGTTAATTTCTTTTAGCACAAAAGCGAGAACCATTAGTCTACCGAATCTATCTACCAAATGCTTTATATCACTGTAAAAGGAAGCATGTCCAGGCAGTGGTGTACAATAAACAGTCACAGGAGACCGGTAGCCAAATCACATAAATGTGGATTAATTCCTAAAAATTTATTGGAAAATTATCTGACCAACTGAATAAACCCAAAGAGAGGCTATAAAACAAAAAACACTTTCCTTCATTAGTGTATGAAGGAAAATAAGTAGTAAGCATTGGGTTAAAATGTGAAAAGTTGCCTTCATGATCAGATGAGAACGACTGCGTGGTAGAGCTAAATCCTATGCACTTACATGTCCTACTAGAATAATCCTGAACATTAGGTCTCTGAACCAATTTACCAGAAAACCTCCACGACACACACACGGAATTTGCAATGCACTAAAAGCTATGCTAAGGTCTCTTTCACACAATGCATAAAAAAACTGCTTGCTATATTTTGAAGCAGTTTGTAGAAAGTTATATCAAACTGCACCAAATATGAAAAAGAGGTAAATGGAGGGTAAATATTGCCTAAGTATTTTGTTTTCTTATTTAAGCACAATTACACACACAATTAAAGGAACACTTTGAAAACACAAAAGATCTCAATGGGGAAAAAATCATGCAGGATATTTATATTGATATGGACTGGGTAATGTACTAGGAACATGAGGATGCCCCATTGTTCGATGGAAATGAAAATTATCTCACACACACTTGATAGATGGTTGATAGATTCCCGCTCCAAAGTCCACTGAAATTGCTGGGGGCACTCTGAAGCAGGAGGTGGGTTACTGGCCAGATCACCAGGTGAAAACAGAAGGGTAAAAGAGAAAAAAAAAAAAAAAGTAACAGCCACCACATCTAATTATTGTTATGCTGCAATGTATTACATTTTTGGTTGGGGGTTTAATACTGCTTTAAAATGGTTTGTCTCATCCCTGTAACTGGGGCTTGCCAAACTCACTTTGGATCTAAAAACCAGCAAAAAAAGTTAGGAGCCAGTTTTTTGAAAAAGCAAACGAAAAGAAAGGAAAGGAAAGAGACACCGGGACACAGCTTCACCAGTTCGGGGATTTGAAATCTCTGTGGCTTCCTCTCCTCCCAGCACTGACAGGACAAGCTAGACAGATTCTGATTGGGCACGCTGTCCACATAATGGTGCTGACCATCTAGAACTCTTCATATGTACAGTGAGAGGTACAGATGGGATTAAGTCAGAGATTTCAAATCCCTGGATCAGTAAAGTGGCATCGCGGTGCACGCCACAGGTGGCTGACAAAAGCCCAAGCGTCAGGGCACAATGTCTAGTCGCCATGGCGATCTGGGATTTGTCAAGCCCTGCAGTACAGCCCACATATCAAAGCACAGCCCCCCTCATGATACAATACAGTGCCCCCCCCCCCCCCCATATCACACAGCACAGCAACCCCCCCCCCCCATATCAAACAATATGAGCAGCAAAACACATGCTTAATGTGGCCCCCTCCCAGACACAAGTGGAACAGTGTGGCCCCCCCCATAGGTATAATACAGGGGCCCCATATATGACCACTCAAACCCCCTGCCAAACACTTGCTCAGACAATGGTCTCCCCTCCCCCAGCAGAGTGACAATTACCCTGGCTGGCACTGCATTCCTCCGCTCACTTCTGTCCACTATGGAGGCCAGGACCACCAGGAGCAGCTTTATCACTGCTGAGAGCCGCCAGTGCCCTGGAACAAATCCCTGGAGCTGCCATCACCGCCTGCCAGAGAGAAGGCGGGGCCGCAAAACGTCACACGCCGCCGGTCAGGGACTGCCTCCCTGTTATCCCTGAACTGTGATTGGCTGGAGAGGGAGAACAGCTAGGCGATTAAGCCACAGGGATTTCCATAAGAGCAGCATCCCAGTGCCTGCCAGCAGACGGCTGACAAACCCCAGGTGCCAAGACACAATTTCTAGTCACCATGGCTACCTGGTACCTGGGATTTGTCGAGCCCTGCCTGTAACCGATAGAATCTGCAAGAGCTTGTTCTTTTGAAAAACAGATTTACTGGCCAGAGGAAAATAAAGGCAAGAAAGCCTAAAAGAAAATGAATGCAGCCATCACATCTAATTGGTAAGCTGCAATATAATAAATGTTGCTTTTGGGTTCAATACTTTAACCTCTCTTGCAAACCACAAAACGCATACTGTATGTGCAGCAGCAAGTGGGTGGGCCCTATTGCCCACACGACAAACATGCGTCCATGACAGCTGAGGTTTCTGTGCTGAAAGCACACTCACTGCCTGCTCGTAGCACAGTGACTGAGCTGCCAACCAAAATTCCAGATCTCTAGTTATAATCACGAGTTGGTGGGACTGGCTTCCAATCATAGGACCACTGTGAACAGCCACAGCCTTAAAGTGATACTAAACAGAGAAGGGATCATTGCCATAACTCATTCACATACAGCGGTGCTCAAAGTTTGCATACCCTTGCAGAAATGGTGAAATCTTGGCACTGGAATTGAAAATATGACTAATCATGCCAAGAAAATGTCTTATTTAAGGATAGTGATCATATGAAGCCATTTTTTTTTATCACATAGTTGTTCATCATGATGAACAGAACTCAGCCAAAGGGCCTTGATCAAAAGTTAACATACCCTAGAATGTTTGGCCTTGGTACAGACATACAAGGTAACACACACAGGTTAAAATGGCAATAAATGGCATTTCCCATATCTGTGGTCTTTTAACCTCTTCACGCCTAAGGGTAAAACAAATCTTAGAGCCAAATTAAAATTTTACAACTTTGACGTGTGTTCGAAAAAAAGTACATAATCACCACAACTACTTTGTACATCCAGGTGAATTATACCTTGTGTTTTACAGGACAAATTGGGGTTTCATTTGGTGGTAAATGGTAATGGATATCTCCTGATTTTTTACTTTATTATCAAAAGGAAAATTGGCCCAAAATAGTTAAAATGGGGAAAAAAAAAACCCCCCAAAAAACCAAAAAAAACCCACCACATTTGTTTTTAAAATGTAGCCGTGTGTTTTCTTCTTACTATTATACAGTATTTATAAAGCGCCGATAGTTCACTCAGTGCTGTACATTACAAAGGGGGACAGAACATGTGACAGAACAATACCAATACAATGCAAAACATGAGGGGATCGAGGGCCCTGCTCTTTTCGAGCTTACAATCTAGGAGGGAGGGGATGGTGGTACAAGAGGAGATAGCTGTGGGGGATGGAGTGGTAGGAAGAGTGGAGGAGGTCGGCAGGTTAGCAGGGGGTGGGGTAGGCTTCCCTGAAGAGATGGGTTTTCAGGGTGCGCCTAAAGGAGAGGAGAGTAGGTGATAATCTGATGGGTTGGGGCAGGGAGTTCCAGAGGATGGATGACACCCTGGAGAGGTCCTGGAGGTGGGCATGGGAGGAGGAGACCAGGGAACTAGAGAGAAGGAGGTCTTGTGAGGAGCGGAGTGTGCGTGCTGGGTGGTACTTGGATATTAGGTCAGTGATGTAGTTCAGGGCAGTATGGTGGACGGCTTTGTACGTCAGTGTTAGGATTTTGAATTTGATCCGCTGCGCAATCGGAAGCCAGTGGAGGGATTGGCAGAGGGGGTGGCGGAGATGGAGCAGTTGGAAAGGTGAATGAGTCTGGCAGCCGTATTCAGGATCGACTGAAGTGGGGATAGCCAGCGGCGAGGCAGGCCAGTGAGGAGGGAGTTGCAGTAGTCGAGTCGTGATTTGATGGAGTGGATGAGCTGTTTAGTGATTTCTGGGGTTAGGAACGTGCGGATTTTGGCGATGTTGCGGAGTCTGGAGTCTGCATGAGTTTGTTAAAGACCATAACCTACCACCAAAGAACAACCCAAAATAAATTTTCCAGCTCGACGATAGCAGTGATACCATATATTTGTATGTTATTTGTACCAGCCCAGAAAACAACAGTGCACATTTTTGCTTTGGTTTTTTTGGCCTAAAACACACTGCCACCATTTATAAAAAAAAAAAAAAAAAAAAAACACAAAACAACACCTTTACCTTTGATCCTGACCTTGACCCAAACACTAAAGCTGGCACTGAACTAGATCAAACCTTGATCTAGGTATTTTTTCCTCTCTGCAAGAGATCTACAATGTATCTCTCTCCTCCATTCAGAGAAAAAAAAAAAAAAAACACACAGGAGGATGGGTGGGCTTCAAAGTGACTGATCACCGTGACAGCCAATCAGAGGCTATCACAGCGATCATGTGGCCTGGAGTTGGGAGTCCAAGGTCCTGATCATTAGAACGGGACCTGAGGCTCTCAGTGACACCCTAGTCTTTGGGCTGGGAGCACGCTATGCAGCGCACTCCTAGCACAAAGACAGGTACGCAAATATGTGTCCCCAAGGAAAAAAAGCCCAGTTCTGTGAGGCCGCACATTTGCGTGACGTTGACGGGGTTGAACTGCAATTAGTGTGTGTATAGTCAATGAGTTTGTTAGCTTTCGCGTAGATGCACTGAGCAAGCTAGATACTGAGCCATGGGGAGCAAAAGAGAACGGTCTTACTGGCCAATCAGTGATCACATGAACCGGGACCTGCCACACTTCAGGCAATGGATGCGGGGGGACGTCTCTAAACACCCGCCACATCATCAACGCTCCTGTCAGGCCGTTTATCGGCATGGGCTGGACTGGAAGAGGTTAAGCAAAACATTCACGGGTGAGCTGCAATTGCCAAACCACTAGTGACTGATATTAATGCTCAGAAGAGGAGAGAGTGGTGCAACACCCATCAATCATGGACTATTGATCACTGGAAGACTAATATGGTCCAGTGAATCGAACTTCACACTGTTCCCAACCACCAGACAGGATTACATGTGGCAAACACCATCCCAAACTTACAACCAGGACTGTCTTGTGCCAACGGTAAAGCATGGTGGTGGCGCAATCATGGTTTGGGCAGCCATATCTTGTTATTCTGTAGGCTCCTTCATCACCTTGAAGTGTCACTGCCAACGAATATGTACAAACT